GCTCGCCCTTTTGTCCTCCGTCGCCATTTCCAGCATTCGCCGATCATTTTATTTTCAAGAGCCACGTTTCAATGCGCCTGTCTCTTCAAATAGTCATTTCCGATCGATCGTTCTCTGGTCTTATTCAATTTTATCGGATCCAGGAAAGATGCATAGAGCACTTCGTATAAAGTCACGCGAATGGAAATGGCAGCTTACCGCACGCCTTTCGGTAGTTTGTAATTCCGTGTTATTCCTGATTTCTGGAAGCCCCGTCGCTTGTTGCTACTAACGACAGGGTGATAAATCGTTTTCACTCTAGGACAGAATCTCTCTATTCACATAGCCTGATTCATATTTGTCTAGGGCTCGCGTTGCGTATTTACTGAACACTCGACTGTTCTAGAATTAGCGACAGAATTAGGACTGTATTAACGTTTGATAGATCTGTTGGAGTGAATTGTTCTGTTAGGCTTTTACAGTTATTATATTTTATATTCGTGTATCATTTCCAAGTACAATTTCGTTAATTATCTTTAAATTTCACTCGCGTGAAACATTTATATATTTTATTTCCAATATGAAACGTATTTTAAATTGCAAGGAATAATTTGCTACGATATTGTAACAATCCCATTAATCTTTTTATTACTTCAGTTTAGTAAATTTAGGTTTCGGCTCGGCATCGATGCTCCCGGTTCATTAGCTGCATTAAAATACTTCCCGGTTCATCCCTTGATCTCGAGCTTCGATATTAGTTCAAGAAGTCACCATAAACATCTTGGCAGGCAGCCCCGGCGGTCTTTGGCTAAATTCAGAAGGCAAAGGTTTGCCAAGAAGTCGAACGGGAACCTGTTACGACGTCCATTATCGGCTTTACAGTGGTTTACTGGATGATCGCGAAGTAAAGCGGAGAACTGCGAGCAAGAAACGTTCGTCAGAGAGGGAAAAACTTCCCCGATACTCTCCGATTCTGGAAATTTGTTTAATATTTGGATTTTCCACCTTCAATCACGGAATCCTACGATTCGAAGCACATTGAAACAAAAAATTATCAATCACTATTAGAAACGCATAATTTAAAGTAAAATGAAAAGAATTACTTCCACGCTCTTAACATTTACTCATCGGATATTGTTTAAAAAAGATTTATAGTCTTTCGTTGATTGTTTACAATAAATAATTTATTTTTTCTTAATGTTTGTGTTTTATTTCAGATTCTCGTATAGAGGACTGTGATTTATAGTGAAGAATTCAGACAACCTGTATAAGGGAAGGAATCGTCTCGCGAAATTAAGTATTTAAACATGAACTAGGGAGTAAGGGTATTTGTATACGAGATGCGTGCGATCTTAACGTCGCTGATGAGGATGTGGGCGCCCGATGCGCCATGATACGAGCTCAAGGGGAAGCCGACTAATTGAAGAGTGTCAGTCTGATTTAACCTCCGTCGACTCGTCGCATTATTATAATTTACGATGTGCCACCAGTTGTCACGAGCTACGCGGAATGAAAGAGCAGCACCGGCATTCGGGTAACGAAATGATGTTAATACTCGCTGGTTTTATAACAGATCGTTTTAAACGATAGTCAAACGCTTGGCAGAAACCAATACAATCGCGAAAAGATGTGTTGCATTAAACGACCTGACGCATTAAGATTTGATTGCAGATGGGATTGAAGATTTATGGAAATTGGAAGGAAACAACTTAAAAACGCATTTGCAAATTTAATATTACACCGCTCGTGAGAACTTCATACGTGAAACTGTTATTAGTACGTCTTGGAAGTTCGTGCACCCGGGATATATAAGGTGCGACAAAATCAAACCATCAATCTTTGTGCATACGTTGCTTAAACTAGAAATTATAGGATGACGTATATAATAGGATTTTTTTCACTCTGTTTATCATATTGAATATAGAATTCGTTCTATTTTTAATCTTGCATTTTTATTGAAAACTATTTAATAACTGCAAATATTTTCAGTGAGAGAATCAAATTGAAATTGGAAGACTTATAACGTTTTATGCTTTAATCACATTTATATTTATTCTATTCATTCATATCCTCGCGTAAACCGTAATGTAATTCGATCACTCAACTTCGTACACCCTCTATAAGTTTAATCTATCTCGTATCCTCGACAGGCACGCTGTCTTCCACAGCGGAGCGTCAGGTTGCTTGGCATTAGTCTACCTTTTATATTTATTCTCTGTTCGTTGGTGGAACACACGGTACCT